CTACAAAATGCAAATCCCCTTCTGCCTCAGAGCACTCCCCTCCCCACCCCCTTTAGTAACAGGCTTAGGTAGAAACCATGAGTGGTCAGATGCCAGCTTCTGACTGTTAAACAGGGAAACTTTCTAAATGGAAACTTGATCACAACTGCTGCTTGGTAATCTTGCTGCTGGCAAGTACTCTGCAGACTAGCAGCCAAATAATGTACTGAGGCACCTATGTTCAAAGCCTTCACTGACACAGTACACATTCCAGTTCTAATGACCTTTTGAGCCCCAAACAAATCACTTTAGAAACAGACCATGCTATATAACACTAGTATATAAAGTAGCACTGGTACATAAAGGGATAGCTCATGTTTGGAATGGCTTTGGAGATTTCTATTGTACTAAGTGCTTTAACATTTAAAAAAATATTTTGGCCTACTGCATAAAAGCATGATGGAAAGACAGAAGAGTACTATGAGAACCTCTCTGCCCATTTAAGGCATAGTTTACGGCATTTCCTAGCTATGTGTTTCTCAAAGCCCAGTGCCCAGCTTAGGGTACGAGTCACTACAATGTCAACATAGTCTTCCAACATCAAACAGCTGCTGTAGTATCAACCAGTCTGTTACTAAAGCTTTGTCTCCTAAAGTGTTTGTTGTAGGGGTAAAGGGTTTCCTTAGGCTCTTTCTCCCACCATTGTAGGTTGAACATGTCATACTTTGACTTTAACTGAGCACTGGCCTTAGAAGAAACATAGAAAATTCAAAAGTTCCAGTGGCATTTACTCATAGTGAACTCAGATGGTGAGTGCCAACAAAATGGAGCCTAATTCATAAATAAATAGAGAAATAGAACCTTGAGAAACTAGAGGGAAGTGCAGCATGCTCTAGAGGAAGCCCAACAATTGCAGGAATAAAAAAATCACAGCAAGGGCTGAACAGCAGCCACAGAATACAGAATGACAGCTGAACAGAAGGAACATATCAGGAAAGTGTTGAAATACCAACTTGATCTGGTCTCATACTGTTTATAATGTCTTTTTTGGGTGAAATATGTGAGTTTTGTCTAAAAACTAACAATCTCAGTTCTCTTTGGTTTTTATTGCCAGAAGTCACTTTTGCCCTAAATACAAAATGGCAGCCAGCTTAGGTTAAAAACTAAGAAGAAATGCAATTTATAAATGTCTGGGATTTGGCACAGACTGCTGGGACCCCATGAATCTGTGCAGCACTGCAAAGGAAAGCTTAGTCTACCTTTTGACCTGTGCAATGCACATTGGGGTGCAATGAGAACCTATGCATATCTACTCAAAAGTAAATTCCAGTGCTCTCAATGGGACCTTCAGGCAAGGAATTGTGCACAGAACTGCAGCCTAAGTTGATTAGCAGTTGGAGTCCTAGTACTCACACTTCACAAGAAACCAAAATGGATAGTCACAAGATCAGACCATGAGAGCTTATATCTCAGGACTGCATGACCTAGATGCTAATTGCTTCATTCCTCAGCTGCTTTGCTTCAGCTTCTTTCTTATGTCCTTATATCTGGTATACATCAAGTGTACATTTGCTGACATCTAGCAAAAGGGACTGCTTTAAAGCATTGGTATTCCTGCATCCACAATTCTATATTATTCATTTGACTTGGGTTTCTTTCTTTGTGTGTGTGTGTGTGTGGGGGGGGGTCTTCTCTTCTTGTAAGGCTAACAGTAAGACTACCAGCAGCTTAGACCCAAGTATGATATACAATTTCCTGTCACTTTCAAACACTGTTTTGTAATTAAAGCAACACCAGGAGAGTACTATTGGAAATGACAAGAAAGGGAATGTTTAGTATTTCATTTTCCACTATTCACTGGCTTGTTGATGGGCTTGAGGACAAACATTGCACTCCTATGTGTTACAGAGGAGTTCAAACATGCTGGCTTTATGCACACCTGCAATTGTACTTTGTATTTCTGTTGTCAGTGTCCTAAACACCTTGGCTCAAGAAGCAGCAGAGCCACAGGCATGAGTGGCTGCCAGTATCAAGAATGTTCTGGATGGTTGCAGAAGGCTCAAGGGAATTGCATAGGTGCTTCTTCCATTGAATCAAAGATGTTTTTCCCTTGGAAGTGTGTAAATGCCTACCTTCCAGTCAGCTAATCAGTGAAGGTACCTACCAGGCAGAGCCTTTGCAGGCCCAATTCTGGAACATTTCCTGGTCAGAAAGTGACAGGTTATCTGGTTTAGATATCTTCCTCGGCACTCCTCAGGATAATTTCCTCTTGTATGCTAGCAGCCACTTCTCTTGTACGGTACACTCTTGTGATCACTCTTGTGATGTTCAGCTATCCAACTTTAACTTAGTCGTTTCAAGAAGTGAATCTAGGCTGCCATCCTTCACGGTGCATAAATCTGTTGTGTACACACCACCGTTTTGGTAAAGGTCCTTTAGTCCTGCATTCATCATCACGCTTGTACATATGCAAGTGCACCTGTGCAGGTGAATTAGGCACCTTATCAGGATGCTCTTTCTCCATGTGGTACAGCCATATTTAAAATGCCATTCTTCTGCAGAGTTCTAAGCATTAAAACAAGAGGCAGTTTTTAATTAAATAAGCAGAGAAAATACACACAGAGCTGCACAAAACAGAGGCTGCCTTTCCCATCCAAATAGCAGTTTGATAGGTGGGATATATTTGACAAAATCACAGCAGGAAAAAAGGGGTTAACTCTCCTTTCTCTCCCCTGCAGTCCTGTGTTGCTTCCTCCTCCAGGGACTGCTATATACATTTGTAAAATATGCATATTAATTACATTCCTGCAGTCATCTACTTGGCCATGTGAGACAAAGGATCATAGCTGCCTCAGAATTCATGCCTCAAATGAAAATTCTTAAGCGGTTTATTATGGTCGTCCTGAATAAACATTTCTATGCAATTCCTGCTTGACAGTTACCTCCTTTCTCATAATTCCCCCCTGCCTGGGTGTCTATTAAGTCCTACTAAGCTCAATGTGAATGGCTCCCAGGTAAGGAGGAGTAGAACTGTAGCCTGAGATGCAAGTACCTCTTCCACTGCCTACTATTTGCTACACCTATGTGGCATAAGGAAATTGTGGCAGGTACTCATATTTGCAGTTCAGGTACCTATTTCCTAATACCATCCTTCCCAATCATAGAGATGAGTTGCTGGCTTCCTATGCATCCATCCATACATTAACCTGCCCAAGGCGGGTGTTAATTTGAGCAAGTGAATCAGAGTACTTTTGAGTACTATGGGAAGAATTTCTTCCTACAAATGGGTGTGATGCTGATATAATTCTATCAAGAGAAGGAAAGAAACCTAGTAACCCACAACCAGATCAAAATCTGTTGACCAGTGAGAATGTATGGTGATGCAGAGCAACTACAGTACTCCAATTGGGTTGGAGCCAGACATTATCATACTTGCTGTAGAAGCACTGAAATCAATAGGGCTTAAAGTTGGTGATGAATTACATATAGATCCAGCCCACAATCTTTACAATCCTGTAATATTTGTAGCAAAATCCCAACTCTGTCTATATTTTTGTCTCATGGCATCTGAAACAACACTACCATGTAACTAAAAATAAAATCAGAGTTTATCAAATATAGCTCTCGTCAAAAATGCAAAGAGAAATAAAGCAATCCTATTCAGAAAAGCTTTTTTAAATTAATCTTTTTTTTCATCCACTCTGGAGCCAGAGTTAGGAAACTCCAAGAGGCTGCATTATTTCCTTCCTGCAGTAGAAAATAGAGTTGAGAAAGGAGAAACTACAGAGACCTCCTTTCTAGCATACTCTTGACTTTGCACTGGTGACCTCAGGTGGAATTACATTTGGCAGAGAAGTAATCACAATAAATACATGCAGAGGTGGTGTTAATGGGTGGCATACTAGAGCTGGAGCCTTGAATCTCTGGATGGCATCTGCTCCCCCCCCCCCCCGGTTGAAATAAAAGTAAGGGGCCCTGATTATCTCCATTGCATCTGATTCCCCTGGATTAGCTGTGTTTTTGCCCTCAAGTGTGTCACGCATGTATGCACAGATTTTAGAGCATATATGAACTGGCACATTTGTGTATGCTTGCCTGCCATTTTTCTTGTTCTGTGGCCTGGATATTTCCTACCTAGCACCATCTGTGTACACACATGTATTGTGTGTCTCTGGTTTTGTTTGTTTAACAAAGGTCCCCTATTGTGGGCAGAGAGAGGTCACCAAAATGCCTGGATGGAGGAGGAACTGCAGGACAGAGAAGTCAGTGAATATTATCACCCCAATATTTTGAGATCCTACCAGTCCCCCTGCGAAGCTTTTTATAAAATACAGAAGCAACAAGTACTAGGCTACATTTAAAGATTCCCTGCCTGTTAATTTGTGATTCTGAGAAACTTGTTTGACATCATGGTACACATTCCTCCCAAAGGAATCTCCTGTTTTGCTAGTCCAGCTTGAGACAGCAGCAAGTGCAGAAAACTACAGAAACATACTAAAACAACTGCACTGGAAAAAGATGCTGTATAAAGAGGAAGAAAAAGCTGAGAAATAAGAAGAGAAAGGAAATGCAGAAGAGTGATTGCTGGCTTCTTGGTGGTTCGCTCTCTTGTGCCCTGCACTCTGGGAAAGGCAGTATCTGTTTAGGTTCGTGGCTAAATTTAAACCCTGATTGCTTGCTTCCCCCTCTGCTCTCCCCACCCTCTCTTCCTCTCCTCTCCCCTCCTTCCTTATTCTCTAGCACAGGCCACACAGGAGTCTGAGAGTTTTAAGCTGAGCTGAAGCTTGGATATTAAACCCTCCCAAACCGTGTGAGTTGTTTTTCCCCTTCTGGGTGAGAGGCTTTGCAGAAAGAGGCAAGACAGACAGAAAAAAAACTGGAAAGAGGAAGGGGATGGGGGAACAAATGCTTCCTAAGAACATCTCGCACCTGCGCAACAGCGAGGTAAACAACCCAATCCCAAACCTTTTCTTTCTCTTTCGCCAGATATCTTTATCTTGCTTTGGAACTTGACTCAGGTAAATGTGGCTCAGCTTAAAACAGCTCAGATAGCTGACTGAACTCATTCTCCTTGCATATAGTAACGGAGGGAGGCGCGGGGGGCTTGGACGAAACGTCTTGCTCTTTATGCCTTCCCTCACAGAACTGAGAACCTTGAGTTGAATTAATTTGATTTGACTCAAGGTGCCTGTGTGTGTCCAAGGGATTAAGTCAGTTTTGAGCCTATCATCAAGGAAGTCAAACTTAACTGTGTTTTATTTAAACGTGCTACTTTGAAATACAGTTTTAAACTTTACAATGCACACGTAAGTCGCTGCAAAGGCTTCAGCTTCCTTCTCTGATCGGAATGTTAAAGCTGCGTATTCGCAAGACGCCTGTTGCACCGAGTTCACTGAATGCAGGACTCTCTGTCCTGTATTCACAGTATATGGAAATCCAACAGGTATTGCTTTTCTATCACAAAAAGTAGTGCTATTCAAGGATTTAGTGAAATTCATTTCCGCACCATGTTAAAGACACAGGGACCCTGGAAGAAAAAAAATGGTGATAATTCTATAATTAGTATTTTCAAAACTGTAAAAAGCACTGAATGCTTTAGCTGTTTCTGGAACAATATAAAAACGGCTAAGTGCACTAAATTCTCTCAACAGGATTTCATTGAGTGTAACTATGTCTAGATGATAGTTCTTCCTTTTAATTATTTATCTGCAAACAGTCGACTGATGTTTTGTTGGTTAAATTTGGTGCAGGGAAATAAAGACATCCACAAAATACCAAATATCCAAAAGGGTTAGATGCTAGGCTTGCTCATGTATATGCAAGGTAGAACAAGGAACATTAATAGTGCTGTGTGACTTAACAGTCTTTAGCACAAAAGAAGGATCACCATAGTCTGCTTCTAGATCTCCACAGTATAAGTTGGATTTGTTAACTCTAATTCTGATAACTTCAGCTAATTCTCAGGCTGGACAGTTGATTTGTTGCATGATACCACATGTTGCATGCAGTCTCCATATTTTATCTCAGTGCTGCCCTTCTTTTGCAGGGATGACATGTCACATGTTTTGTATCTTGCCTTCTAGTCAGATCATTAATTGCCGTTATAATGCAGTTTGACTCTGTGAGCATCTGCAGTTCAGTTAATGTTGGGTGACCCAGCACTGTCACCATAGCGGCACCATTTCATTTATTTATTTAAAACTGGTTAATCCTTTACAGGCTACATATTCCCAAAGGCTATATCTCTAACATGCTTGCACTTATCTGGTGCCATTCTTTGTAAAGTGTCTAACAGGAAGTGCCATTTTCAGAGTCTTCTGCTTACTGTTTGTAAGTCATTGGAGGCAGCTATTCTCTTCTGCTCTGGAGTGTTTTATCTGACCAAATAGTTTTAAAATGGGGAAGGGATGAAAAACAACATCCCATCTCCTTCACCTAGTATGTACAGACAGGATATTGTGCTGTCTTTGATGGGCTTGCAGAATGCTAAGGTGACCGTTGATTTATCATTTGAAAAGATTTCTCATTTCTGGACTAGTGCTTCCCATCAGTGTGCTAGGTACGACACCCTAAAGTTGTGGTGAGCAACTTGTGGCCTTCTAAGCATTTTGGTCTGCTACTTCCATTGCCCCTCACTATCGGTGGTGTTTCCTAGAGCAGATATGAGTTGTAGGCCAAAACATCTGGAAGGCCGCAGGGTTCCCACCGCTTCCTTCAAGGGAAATGGTAAGAGGGAAATGCTAGGAAGCTCCCAGCCAAGCCAGCTAAGTAAGCACATTGCCCAGCAAAACATGGCCACTCTTGGGAAGATCGAATCTGAGAGTAGCACTTCAGGATGAGCTACTGTTTGAGGAGACAATAGTGACAATTCAAATTAGTTATAGAAACTTTCTGTTTGGTTGCACCTGCCCATTTTCAACCTACCATTTACAATATGAATTCCTGCAGTCACTCTTGACAATTTGACAGTGTCTTTACAAACCAGAATTTATTTTATATAAGTCCATTTATTAGATTCCGGAATGTTTTTTACAATGTTGAGGCTAGCAGCAAATTGGATCTTAAGATATTAATCATGTGCAAAAAGCAGCTAATACTGAACATGCAAAGGTTACATCTAGGCCATCAGATTAGGACTCAGTGTTCGCAATGCCTTTTTCCCCTACTGTAGCTGGTCTCGTTTGGGAAAAAAGGAATTGAAAGTAACTGCAGGTAAGTAATCAAATGGTCTTTTTTGGAAACTGACACATGAAATAGATTTAGAATGTTAGATTAGAATTTTATATTAGAAAGAATTTTATAGTAATTATGCCTTCTTTCTGTTTCTTGGGGATTTCCCCTTGTAAAACTTAATCTCTTTCAAGTGTTCCTTATAATTAGCCATTTCTGGTAGCATTTGCCTTTTAGCTGTTGATATTTTCCAACCCTAATATTATTTCACATCATCTTCCTCTCTTTTGATTAGATCTTGGGTTCCAAAAGTGTGCAACTTTGTAAAATCTCAGTTTAATGTTATTTTTAGTTATTTAGTTACCAAACTGAACATATAAGTTCTTTTCAAAATTTGCACTCAATGAAGAATCAAGAATTTACACAATGTGTATAGCCAATCAGACTTGATTTATTTGTGGTCAATAGGAGAAGTTTCATAAATTAAGGGTGCAATTCTACACATATTTAGACCAAAAAAAAAAAAAAAAAAAACCCTACAACTCCCAGCATACCCCAGCCAGAGAATGCTGGGAACCATAGGATTTTTTTTCTGTCTAAAGGTACATAGGATTGCACCCTTAATCCATGAAATTTCTCCCATTGACCACACAGGTCAAATGGCTCCATGCTGGTTGAAGAATTGTGGGAGCTGTAGCAATTTTTTTTCTGTTTAAACATCATCATCATTATCATTATTATTACATTTGTAGGCCACCCCATGGCCAATAGGGTTCTCTGGGTGGCTTACAATAAAACAGAAATAATACAAATTCTATTACAATAACAATACTAAATATACAATATAATAAATACAAAATACAATACAAAATACAATACTAAGTACAAAACAATGCTGAAATCAAAGCAGAAATACTTGATGCAATAGTATAATACAGAATATAAAGCAACAGTAAAACCCAACTATAACCCCTCCCCCCCCAAAAAACCCCACCAGTGCTCAAAACAGTGCCAGTTGGCTGAAAAGGGGTGGCTAGCAGGGCCACACCTCGACTTCGCCTCTGCTCCACCTCTGCTCTGTGGCTGCAACAGGGATGGCGACTGCCTTTCTCTTCCTAAATGCATAGGATTGTGCCCTTCAGGGTTAATTTTGGGGGTTGAGTTAAAAATGAGGAGGTCTTTTCTTTTGGTTTTATTCCTCAGTATTATTATTATACCAGAATTCTTAAGTAAGTGACATATATCAAGGTCTGTGGCAATGCGACCTTGAAATAAAGAAATTTCCTTCAAATATCATTGGGCTACATCTGATAAAACTGGTCAGACAGAAGATGTCTTATGCAACCATGCCAGGTGCAGTGATAAAAATAGTTTTCTTTACAGATTCAGGCTTATTGCATAGAAGTGATAGAACTGGAGGTTTTCACTTCTTCTTTTGCCAACTGCCTGAATTAGTTTTCATAGCTGGCCTAATTAGAGATGGTTACATCCTTTATATATTTTAGAGGTTTCCCCAAATCAATATAAGAGTCGGTGGGAAGAAAGACTGTGCAACTCAGTTAACTGTGCCTCATAGATCAGCTAGTAGCCCACTGTCTGGTCCATTAACAACCGTGGCTGCAAATCAGTTGAAATAAAGCACCGTGGAATGTCTGCAAAATATCTCTCTCCACTTAACCCAGTGGGGAAAGCAGTATGTATGAGGATCAGTGGAGGAGAGGATTAGGTGGGCAAGCATCAGGACGCCCTTGGGAACACAGTGAAGGGCTGGGCATGGGCTTAAGCTGGACATCTTCTGACCCAGCTGCACCTATTCTTTCTTGTGTTTCTTTGAACCTATTGACATTAAAGTCACCTGTCATTTATTGCCTTAGAATATGAACAAGTAACAAAGAGGTGGGCAACTTGTGGCCTCAGAGATGTTTTGGCTTACAGCTCTCATCATCCTTCACTATCATCTGTACTGGCTAGACCTGATGGGAGTTGTAGGCCAAAACAATGGTCCACCTGCAAAGTAACCCATAATGCTCTGGTATTTTTGCACTTAATTTTCTTGAGAACAGTTCTGCCTTTGCACTGTGCTTCCCACTTTTCATATCTTTAGTCATACAAGAAAACAGAACAGATCCAATGGAGATGCATAATTGTAGCCATTAGGGAATGGTTAGTAATCCTTACCTTTTTGTACACTGTCTCTTAGCTAGCTGCTGACCATTCTCTTCTCACTCATGACTTAAGATTCTTTACAGATGCTTTGCAGAGTGATTCATTGCAGCATACAATACTTCTGAAAGACCAAGAATAGTCTATCACTTTTATCAATATGCTGGATTAGTATGGTAAAATAATCTAGTATGGTAGATTAACAACACATTTTTAATCTGTCTCATTTCTTCTATAATGTGTTGGGGTATGGCCAGCTATTCTATTCTTTACAGCTTTACAAAGAAAAGAGGTTCTTTGTCTGAAAGTTTTAAATGACTGCTAGTTTCTAGTAATCTGGTACAGGCAGGTTTTGGTGACATTCTGCATTTGGGACCTCTTTATGGGAGCACCCTTAACAGGGACACCACACACGTTAGCAGTACGTTACAGTCGTATGCATGTACCTAGAAGTTTCCTTACTATGCAGCTTGCTTGGGCATTTCAAAGCAAGTAGTTTAATAAACCACTGGCAGTGTACACTATGGCTGGTGGGCTACATTAATGAGAGTGCATTGCAGGTTTTTCTGGCTTCTCGTGGGGAAATGTGTCCTATGAAGGCAAGGCTTCCATCATACTTTTAATTCAGTAGAAAGAAACTGAGTACCACCCATTAAAAGCATTAAGTCAGAATTCTATCTGCAAACATAGGTTTCCAGCATACTATTAGTAGGTGTTAGGAAATAATTAACAGATTACAGGGAAAGAAACAAATAGCCCAACTCCAAAAAAGGTTGTTATACAACCATGTGTACAAATAAAAATGTTTTATCTTCATGTATAAACACATTGGACTGATTCTGTCAACACAGTAGCTTACTGTGGGTTAATTAACCCTAGGACATGCAGGAGTCATTTTAAATATGCAAATTCCAGTCAGAAGAATTGGGGCATTTTGTACAAATTCAGCTATTGTGAGTTAATCAAGCATTAAAGAACTCCCACAATTCAACTACTAATCAAAAATCTTTAATCTTTGATTAAAGATTATTCTTTGATTTAATCTTTGATTAACTCATGATGACTAGGTTCACCAGTCAGGCTAGAATATGGGTATTTAAAAATACAAAC